CTAAAATTATGTTTGTTGGATATATTCTTGAAAAAATCATCGTATATTTAATAAATGTTCAGTTTGTACTTCATAAAATTCCTCGCATATCAAAGGTTGTTCATTGTGTTTTTCTAAAAGGTTATACGTACTAAAAAAATGTTAGTGTTGTAAAGGTTCATAGTGTTTTTCAAAAAGGTCCTTCGCGTACTACTAAATGTTCGCCGCGCTATTAAAAGGTTTTTCATCATATTTTCTAAAAACGTTCATGGTGTATCAAAAATATATTTATCCAATGTAAAATAATTGTTCATTGTAGATTTGATAATGTTAATGGTGTACTTCAAAAAATGTCCATAGTGCAATAAAATATACTTATCATTTATTTAATTTAATTACATAACCTAATAAGTTTTAACACATTTAAAAAATTCATGTAAATTTCAAAATGTGATCACGTTTTTTATTATATATTCATGTATTTGGAAGGTGCTAACACATTTTTAAAAAGCTCGGGTTTATTATAGAAATAGGAAATGGGAAATAAACAAAAAAAAGAAGCAGAAGACAAGAATGCATAAAAGGCGGGTTTCCTTTTTTTATATACTTTCACCTATGTAGGTAATGGTTTTACTACGAGGCAGATGCACAAATGTCAGTAATAGGTTTCTATGTCCGATGAGATGGTGCCGTGCTGAGAACCAGCGGCATTTCCTGTTACAGTACAATTTGCAAACGGGCGCCTGCAGCAGTCTAAGATGGGCCGGCCCATTCTATCATTCTCCTTCCTGTTTTCGAAACGTCAAGAAAGAGTGCTTGCATGGGGGTTCGAACTCACAACCGATTCGTTAGCCACCAAGCCATCCACTTGTGGGTGTATTCCTAGTTCGTTTAATTCCTGTTATTCCGTTCTCCGGTTCGGTTTATTCCTTTTCTTTTTTTTCTCATTTTATTTTTTATTGTGCGCTTATTTCAAATTCGTGAACTTTTTTGTAAAATTCGTGACCTTTTTTTAAAAATGGATGAACTTTTTCCTAATCCAATGAACTTTTTCAAATTCGTTGAACTTTTTCCAAATCCGATGAACTTTTTTTTAGAATTTTATGAACTTTTTTCAAGATTGGTGAATTTTTCCTTCAAATTTGTGAACCTTTCTAAATTGACAAAGTGTTTTCAAAACCGATGAACTTTTTTCGAAAACGAGAAACTTTCTAAACTTTTTCATAAAGTTGTTCTCCAAAATCGGTGAACCTTTTTAAGTTTGTGAACTTTTCTTCAAAAACGATGAACTATTTCTCAATATCGATGAACTTTTTTAAGTTTTTGTACTTTTGTCTCAAAATTAGTGAATGTTTTAAAATTCATGATTTTTATAAAAATAAATAAAAGACTAAATGATAAACATATAGTGCGGCCATATTAGTTTATGTATAGTTATGGCTCCTCAAAAACACTAGTTTACGTTGGCTGTTGTGGTGCGAGTTCGATCCCTCAACAGCCAGCTTTTTGTGTTTTTCCTAGCGATTTTTCTTCGGTACGTTTTCCCATCGCGGCCCGGCCCAACAAGGCTTTCCAGCTTGCGCCAGCTACCTGTTCGGGCGCTTAAGGCGCCGAACAGGAGCTCCCAGAACCAGCAGCGAAGCAGAACGAAACGAACGCAGTGTAAACTTGCAAACACACGAAAGAAAAGATAAAACAGGATGGGCTTCCGAGATGTTGCTGTTTGGTGGGCCGTGATCTAAAGGCCTGGAAATTTGGCTGGGCCGCACGCACGACGGAGGGCGTTGCGATCTTCTTGACACGACGGAGGGAGTTGCCTGCCTGTGGAGGGTTTTCAGGTGGACTTCCGATCGAGGCGTCGCCTCAGGCGCTCGCCGCCGCCGCCGCCGCGTGGTCCGGGCGGAGATGACCTCATCGGCGCGCTCCACGACGACATGCTGCTCCAGATCCTCGTGCATCTGCGCTGCGCTCACACCGCCGCGCGCACCGGCGTCCTCTCGGCCTTCCGTAAGGTCGAGGCCGGCTTGCTCGAAGCCGCACTCACCGCGCTTGAGGCCGCCGTGCCGCTCGGCCTCATGGTGTCCCTTCTTGGCATGGAATGCGACAGACTTAATACTTGGAGGTATGGGGTTGATGGCGTTCGTGTTGCCTCCCTTCTCCGCGGCGCGGCGAGGCTCTCTCCGCAGGAACTTGTCTTCGCTAGTACCCACGACTCTTTTGAAAGCATTAATGTCGACCTGCCCTGCTTCCATTGCGCCAAGTCGATCGAGATGAAGTCGTACAGCTTTCGTTTCACACAGCTACCGGCCAAAGAGTTCTCGGCTCTCGAGAGGCTATGCCTTGAGGGCTGCACCATCGTAAACCTTGTCACAATGGTCACCCTCTGCCCGCGCCTACGCGTGCTCAAGGTGATGCCAGATAGGTCCGTGCGTGATGTTACAATCAATTCGGAGTTGCTGGAGGAGCTTGATCTTAGTGTCTATGGAGGATTCAAATGTCAAGGCATCCAAATCATGACGCCGCTACTTAAGCAACTGAAGCTTGAAGTTCGTTCCAACCCAGACCTTAGGGTGTCCATCTCAACCCCAATGGTGGAGAAGGTCTCATGGCTGCTTACATATAACACTGAGTCGTCGCTTATTTTTGGTTTTTGGTCGCTTCAGAGCATGAAATTAGAGACGATAGAGAGCTATAAATATAATGATGGGGTGAGCAGCAGCCAAGAGGAAGATGCATGTTTGCGCCCCCCACACTGCAATGTCCTTTCTTTGCACATATCTGCCTATCCCTATGTATGTCTCTTGTCTACCAACTCTTTAAAAGATTTGCTTGCTAAACTAACTCTAAAGACTCTATGCTATACATCAGGCTAAATAATTATGTTGTTTTGTAGAATCGTTTGGGTGCAGCGGTGAATTTTGCGCTGGAGATGGAGAAACTTCCGGTTACGAATTTTACTTTGTTGGAGCTATATCTCAACGCAAGGGGACATGTTTTAGGAGCAATTGTGCAGCATCTCCTTATGATACATCACATCCAGACTACTACACAAAGGCTTAAGGTTTTCCTATGGGACAGGTGTTGGGTAATTATCCTTGCTGCTTATATATTTTATTCATAAGTAACTTGTTCAATATACATTGTAATGTTTTACATGTTTCAGTCAAAATGTCTTGAAAACTGTCCTTGTGATGAGCCCAAGAATTGGAGGAGCCAAAGTATCTCCTTGACTCATCTCGAAGAAGTGGAAATCAATAACTTCAAAGGAGGGGACCATGAGATAGATCTCGTGACACTGGCATTGAGATGGGCACCAAGGCTTAAGACAATGACCATCAAGCTAGCTGATGAGACAGACATTCAACGATGCGCCGCAAAAATCTACGACATTTGTTCGGTGTATCCTTTCGTTAATTGCTTTGTTTACAACCGCTCCGGTGGACTGGTTTAATATGTCAAACGTGTAATATTCCAATTGATGTTTTCTGTATGGGAGGTGCTACTACTTGTGATTACCTCTATATGTACTCGGTCTTGCCTCATGCTTAATGCTTTGAACATCTTTGTATTGAAACTTATATAGTTTTTTTTGTGCTTTTCATATTTTGTAAACCTGGAAGGTGGTTATGATGTACTGTTTAAGTGTTGACATGCCAACTATCAATTCCGGTCTTACTTGTTGCAAATTACGTTAAATAATGATAATGAAACTGCAGTATAATTGATGTGTAGAAAAATGGAAGTAATGGTTATTGGTACGTGTAAAAATACCCCAGCTCACATATGTTTGAATTGGTCAGATCCGCTGATTTCTAGCCGCTGGATTAATTCCATTTCAGGCTTAAGATCTACCGTCAGTTCTTCAACAATCTTCAAATTAACTCTCAGGCATTCACCTTTGTTCCCGACTTCCTGTATGCACTAGAATACAAGGAGGGGAGATACATAAAGCTAGCAGAAGAGCAGACAGGCAGATCAAGCGCAGGTGTGAGGCGAGACAGTCGGCATTAATGTAGATAGTCTTTAGCTCAGCAGAAACCAAATAGATCAGAAAGTCACTAGAAGATGGGTGGATTGGAGAGCAAAGAATATAGATCACTCAATTGATTGTTCAAGTTTCAAAAGAAGAAATCGGTCTTATGCTTGTAGCTGGGATAGCTACAGGAATTAAAGACGGAGACAACATATTGCAAAGCAGCAGGACCATGATGCTAATTGAGCAATGTTTTGAGTCTTTCGAGCCAGCCGAATCGAGGAAACTTTCGAATGGAGCATCCGGATGCGAGTTGCACAAAGACACACTGAAAAAAACACCAAGAAATGAAATTGTATGCAATTAATTATAGTGAGGGGCAGTCTATATTAAGGTCGGTGCCCCAACACAATATTAACAAGTGGCACACCATCTATCACTGAAAGATGGTGAATGAGCTTTACTCCATATATGCCAGCTTAACAAGTAAAATAGCACATCAGGTCCAAGTACACAATGGCACAATGTACATATATAAAACTGGCATGGGAACAGACACCATCCGAGCTTACTTACAATCAGCACATAACAAGTGACAATATTCATAACCGTACCACAACAAATGACACCACACACACATATACTCACCACCATCATCGTTTTTGTTTACAAATTACAATCACCCTATGCACGACAATTCATACCGTAATAAGGAACCACACATGCAGAATGAGCATGCAGCGACACGAGCGCTCGAGAGCTCATGTGTGCTACATAAGCTGAATGCCCACTCTGATTTATTTCTCATTTGCTCGAGAGCTCTGAGCAAAGATGATCAAACCAAACCAAACCAAATCAAACTGGAAGCCGCACCGGCGCAGCAAGGCAACACAGATGTAGAGAGAAGAACACCACAAACCAATCAAGCAGGAAGCAGGGCAAGCAACGCACGGAGACACACGGGAGGAAAGCTTCTGTTACGTAGGAGGTAGCATTGCATGCTTGATGATCGAGCATTCATATTTCCTTGAAAGAAGCTCAAGATCGATTACCTGCAGCATACAAACCAACAATGGTATGAATGATTAACCACACATACTACTTCAGTACTAGGCTAAATTTTTGTGTAGAAAAAAGAGAGTAATAGTGAGGTTCAACAAAAGATCTTGCTAGCACAGTGTATGTATGTACTAAGGAACACACGCACAAGTGGAACTAGATAGAAAGCCCACCTGAGTACGGTGCCTCTGGGCAGCTGGGCCTTGCAGTACAACGAGTGGGTTGGCTCGTAGAGGGAAGGATGGTGGTTCTCCTCCAACCCATCCCACTCCAGGTTGTCCCACCACTCCTTCTCGCAGTCCACCTTGGGCGGCTTAGTGTTGTGTCCGATGGCAGGCAGGCGCCCAAGGCTCCAGCAGCCCCTGATCTTGATGGTCTCGAGTTTAGGTGCAAATATCCTGCGTCCACAGATGCGCTGCAGCATGGGGAGCTCATGCAGGTGGATGCGCCTCAGCTCACGGAATTCTTTAATTTCATCCTGCTCTTGAAGCTCAGGGCTCAAACGGATTAATACCTCCGTGAGATCACCACAGTACACTATCTCAAGGGTTTCCAAACCACTCAACCCCGTCCAATAGCCTAGGCATAAGGGGAGTACATGTACGAGCATGGGGCAGTGGTCCAGGTGTAAGAAGTTCAGGTTGGAAAAGTATACTTGAACTGGCATGTTCCAGATGTAGCATGCAGAGAGGAGCTGGGATGCCCAGAATGTATGCAGACCACGAAAGGTGTATTCACTGTGCTGCGGAACAGGAAAGACTGTGAGTAACTTGGGGCACCTCTCCACCCGGCACCATCTTAGCCTATCCCATCCATCATTGGAAATACTGATGATGGAGGCATTAGCATACATGTGCACTCTTTTTCTACCTTTTTTCTTTATCACACAATGCCCCAACACAACAGAGAAACATTTGGCACGCTATCTATCTATGAAGGAGGGTCGATGAGCTCCCTACATACATGGACCTCATGTATGTACATCTGGGCAAAGGAAATACAAACCACAAAGCACATTCCATACGGCCTAACAAGTGACAGTAGCCAACAGATCAACTCCAAGAACACGGTGGAACAATGAGCGAGTGTATAAAACTGGCATTGGTACTAACACCACCCAAGCTTACTTACAAACAACACATAACAAGTGACGGTATTCATAATCATACCACATCAAACAACATCACGCACACAAACACACAAATCATCACCATCATCATTTATGCAAATAATTTCATAATGTAACAAACAACACACAAAGACAATGAGGCTCATGAGCTCATGTATGTTGATAAGTTGACTGCCCACTCTATGATTTATTTCTCATTTTCTCAAGAGCCCCGAGCAAAGACGACCAAACCAAATCTAATCAAATTGGAAGCCGCACCAAGGCGATGCATATACAGAGAACACCCCAAACCAACCAACCATGAAGAATGGCAAGCAACAGGCACACGAGAGGAGAAGCCTTAGTTATGCAAGTCCACATAAGCTGACCACCCACTCTGCTTTATTCCTTAATTGCTCAGGAGCTTAAGCAAGGATGATGAAACCCAACCAAATCAAACTAGAAGTCACGTCACCGGACCAAGGCAATGTAGATGTAGAGAGAACGCCAAAAACCAATCAAGCTGGAAGCAGGGCAAGCAATGCACACAGTCACACAACAGGAGAACTTTAGTTATGTGGGAGATAGCACTGCATACTTGACGATCATGCATATTGTGTTGAAAGAAGCTCAAGATCAATCCACTGAAGATTTGGAATATGAATCTTGATAATTATGGGACTGATGACGAATCAACTTTGCCTAGAAGGCGTCCCAAGAATTCAGAGTCTTTAGATCTTGATGCTAAATTTGGTAAAAGTGGGATTGGACAGGTCACAACTTTAAATAGTATTGAACCCACTATCTCGGATTTCAAGGATTTTGATTATGATAATTGTTCTTTAGAAGGTTGTATTTCCTTGTTGCAATCCGTTGTTAATTCTCCTCATGCTTATAGTCAAAATAAAGCTTTTACCAAACATATTGTTGATGCTTTGATGCAATCTTATGATGAAAAACTTAATTTGGAAGTTTGTATACATAGAAAACTTAATGATGAGTGGGAACCTACTATAAAGATTAGAATTAAAGATCATGAGTGTTTTGCTTTGTGTGATTTGGGTGCTAGTGTTTCCACGATTCCAAAAACTTTATGTGATATTCTAGGTTTCCATGATCTTGATGATTGCTCTTTAAATTTGCACCTTGCGGATTCCACCATTAAAAAGCCAATGAGAAGAATCATGATGTTCTCATTGTTACAAATGGAAATTTGGTGCCCGTAGATTTTATCGTTCTTGATAAAGATTGCAATCTTTCTTTCCTTAGAACGATTGGCGCGATTATTGATATGAAGGAAGGGAATATTAGATTCCAATTTCCATTAAAGAAAGGCATAGAGCACTTTCCAAGAAAGAAAGTCAAATTATCTTATGAATCTATCATGCGGGCTACTTATGAATTTAGTGCCAAAGATGGCACTCGTTAGATCTATCTTTGCTTTTATGCCTAACTAGGGCCGTTAAACGATAGCGCTAGTTGGGAGGCAACCCAATTTTCTTTATGTTTTTTGTTTTTGCTCCTGTTTAGTAATAAATCTTGCATCTACCTTCTATTTAGATGTGTTTTTATCTTTTAGTTAGTGTTTGTGCCAAGTAGAACCTATAGGATAACCTATGATAGTTGATTTGATTATGCTGAAAAACAGAAACTTTGAACGCACGAATATAATTTTTTTAAATCACATAAACGTGATTTTGCGTTGATTCTTTTTGCTGATGATCAATAAACAAAATTTCCAGGACTTCCTATTTTGGCAGGATTTTTAGAGTTCCATAAGTTTGCGTTAGTTACAAATTGCTACAGACTGTTCTGTTTTCAACAGATTCTGTTTTTCGTGTGTTATTTGCTTATTTTGATGCATCTATGGCTAGTAAAATAGTTTATAAACCATATAGAAGTTGGAATACAGTAGGTTTAACACCAAAATAAATAAAGAATGATTTAATTACAGCACCTTATGTGGTGGTTTTGTTTTCTTTCACTAACGGAGCTTATAAGATTTCCTGTTGAGTTTTGTGTTGTGAAGTTTTCAAGTTTTGGGTAATGCCTTTATGGACTATGGAATAAGGAGTGGCAAGAGCCTAAGCTTGGTGATGCCAAAGGCACCCCAAGATATTCAAGAATAGCGAAAAGCCTAAGCTTGGGGATGCCCCGGGAAGGCATCCCCTCTTTCGTCTTTGTTCATTGGTAACTTTACTTGGAGCTATATTTTTATTCGCCACATGATATGTGTTTTGCTTGGAGCGTCGTGTATTATATTAGTCTTTGATTTTTAGTTTACCACAATCATCTTTGCTGTACACACCTTTTGGGAGAAGCCTATTTGATTAGAATTTGCTAGAATACTCTATGTGCTTCACTTAAATTTTTTGAGCTTGATAGTTTTTGCTTTAGTGCTTCACTTATATCTTTTAGAGCACGGTGTTGACTTAATTTTGAAGAAATTTCTAGTCTCCCATGCTTCACTTATATGTTTTGGAGAGTCTTTTAGAACAGCATGGTATTTTCTATGGTTATAAAATTGGTCCTAGAATGATGAGCATCCAAGTCGGGTATAATAAAAACTATCATAGAAAAAGAATTGGATGCTATGATCAATATGATGCTTGATAATTGTTTTGAGATATGGAGGTTGTGATATTAGAGTCATGCTAGTTGAGGTGATTATGAAAAGTACTTGTGTTGAGGTTTGTGATTCCCGTAGCATGCACGTATGGTGAACCGCTTTGTGATGAAGTTGGAGCACAATTTTATTTATTGATTGTCTTTCTTATGAGTGGCAGTCGGGGACGAGCGATGGTCTTTTCCTACCAATCTATCCCCCTAGGAGCATGCGTGTAGTGCTTTGGTTTTTGATGACTTTTAGATTTTTGCAACAAGTACATGAGTTCTTTTGACTAACGTTGAGTCCATGGATTATACTGAAGGAAATATGCCCTAGAGGCAATAATAAAGTTATTATTTATTTCCTTATATCATGATAAATATTTATTATTCATGCTAGAATTGTATTAACCGGAAACATAATACATGTGTGAATACATAGACAAACATAGTGTCACTAGTATGCCTCTACTTGACTAGCTCGTTAATCAAAGATGGTTAAGTTTCCTAACCATAGACATGAGTTGTCATTTGATTAACGGGATCACATCATTAGGAGAATGATGTGATTGACTTGACCCATTCCGTTAGCTTAGCACTTGATCGTTTAGTATGTTGCTATTGCTTTCTTCACGACTTATACATGTTCCTGTAACTATGAGATTATGCAACTCCCGTTTACCAAAGGAACACTTTGGGTGCTACCAAACGTCACAACGTAACTGGGTGATTATAAAGGAGTACTACAGGTGTCACCAAAGGTACATGTTGGGTTGGCGTATTTCGAGATTAGGTTTTGTCACTCCGATTGTCGGAGAGGTATCTCTGGGCCCTCTCGGTAATACACATCACTTAAGCCTTGCAAGCATTGCAACTAATGAGTTAGTTGCGGGATGATGTATTACGGAACGAGTAAAGAGACTTGCCGGTAACGAGATTGAACTAGGTATTGGATACCGACGATCGAATCTCGGGCAAGTAACATACCGATGACAAAGGGAACAACGTATGTTGTTATGCGGTTTGACCGATAAAGATCTTCGTAGAATATGTGGGAGCCAATATGAGCATCCAGGTTCCGCTATTGATTATTGACCGGAAACGTGACTCGGTCATGTCTACATAGTTCTCGAACCCGTAGGGTCTGCACGCTTAAGGTTTCGATGACAGTTATATTATGAGTTTATGAGTTTTGATATACCGAAGGAGTTCGGAGTCCCGGATGAGATCGGGGACATGACGAGGAGTCTCGAAATGGTCGAGACGTAAAGATCGATATATTGGACGACTATATTCGGAGTTCGGAAAGGTTCCGAGTGATTCGGGTATTTTTCGGAGTACCGGAGAGTTACGGGAATTCGCCGGGGAGTATATGGGCCTTATTGGGCTTTAGAGGAAAGAGAGAGGAGAGGTTGGGCGCCCCCCTAAGGCCTAGTCCGAATTGGACTAGGGGGAGGGGCTGCGCCCCCTCCTTCCTTCTCTTCTCTCCCCCCTTTCCTTGACT